GTCAAGTAACCGTGTAACCAATCATACCTTTGTATTCTTTTAGAAATTCCAACAGAAATACTAAACGTCGCAATTTATTGGTTACGCGTTTACGCGGTACGCAGAAAATATTTGCTATGGCTCCTGCACATAGGACGCAGTAATGCTTGCCGCGCGGCGGAAGTCCGTGCAACAGCCAATCAATATGTTGTTTTTTCGTAACAGCTAGAAGGTTATTACGGAAAGCAGCATATTGAGTGGCTGTCGCGCGAACTTTTGCCGCGCGGCAAGCATTACCGCGTCCTGTGTGTAGGAGCCATTACCACGTTCTGTGTGCAGGAGCCATAAGTCCCGATTTACAATAGATGTAATAAGCTTTAAGTCTTAAGAAATTGACCAATCACAGTGAAATTATAGAGGAATAATCAATTTTGATTGGTTAATTTCTTACGGCTTAAAGCTTACTATACCTATTGGGTGCTTTCCAATTGCTTAACATATCTTGACACACACGTACACAAGCCAGTTTATTGGTTACATATTATCTAAAATATCTTGTAAGATAATATGCAACCAATAAGCTGGTTTTGTGTAACAACACAGCACAGTGTATGCACCTGTCACGTCCGACCGACCAGGCTGCCAGCCAGTGATAATTTTTTGTTCAAATAATCTTTTACCTGAGACACTCCAGGTACGAAACCTTTCTTTCCCAAAAGGAAGCACATCACTACCATTCAGACTCCCCTCCTAAAAGTGGGATCACAAAAGCTCAGTAGCACTAGAGTAGTGATCGGCGTAGCAGTCAGTCAGAGTCGGGTGCCGGGATCGGAAGTCGAAAGGTAGTCCTCATCTTAAAATCCCATTTCTCTAATTCACTAATTCTAAATCTCAGTTTCCTCTAATTCTTAAGCAATTAACTTTAAGTTATCTTTAACATTCTTAAACATTTACGAGCGTTTTATTCTAATGCACAATTCTTTAGTTTGTTAAACAGATCATTTTAGTTATTTCGTCACTTCCGTTATTCTAGCCATACTTAAGATATCTTTGTGAGCATATTATATATCAAGAATTATACAATACATATTATATATATATATACATATATATATATATATATATATATATATATATATATATATATTATATATATATACATATTATATATATATATATATATATGTGTATGTATATATATATATAATATATATATAATCACTATTGTTATATATGATATAGAACTCTAGAACTATTGTAAAACAAACCGGAACTCTAAAGAAATAGTTAATTTAAATAGTTTTTTTGATTAGGTGCGCTGCGTGAACTTAGCGCATCTTTTTTTGAAAGTCTTTTTTTTTTTGCCAAGTCTTGGCACACCATATTCAAAAATATGACATTTTTTTTGCAGTTCTGATACTCTCTTGAAAAGTTCTAGAGCTCTTTGCAACAACTTTCAATAGTTCCGGTCATTAAATACAAAAAAATAGACTTTTTGAAAAAGGTGCGCTAAGTTCTCGAAGCGCACTTAATCAGTAAAATCAACTATTTCTTTAAAACTATTGT